TTTATAACCAATAAAATAAAATAAAATAAAATAAAATAAAACACAAAATATGAAAGTACTGGGGTACTGTCCTGAGAACATAATTATATTATTTAATATAACAATATAATTTTTATATTTTCTGTTTTCATCTTAATTTCAGTTATAGTTTTAGTAATTTTGTGCATTGTACTTTTTTTATTTTTAGTTATTTTAGTACATCAACTTGTACTTTTTTTTAAAGTATATTCCTAGCAGGCAAATGTTATGTAACTTTAACCTTTTTGAATGTTTTCTAAATATCTTTGACTTTGCACTTATTTCACTTTATAATTAACTGCTACTAACAACAATTTTACCGAATTACATTTCTTGTTATCTCATCTGCTATATTAGCAAACTTCTCATGACAAAAAAGTGACGTCCTTCCTTTTTCATGCCTATGCAATAGAAATACTGCGACTAGGCCTTGTATCTTAACAAAAATCAACCATAGTAATTATAATTTCCACTTAAATGTCATGGCTATTATTGTAAAGTCATAATTAACTATTATGGTTATGGAAGATCCTTCAAATGTTAATAAGAAGGTTTCAGAATATGCATGTTATTTTTATGGCATTTGTGGCTAGTATATAAGTTATCAATAATGCATAAATTATTATATCACAAATGAATTTTTTATGATTATAATTACTTAATGTTTATTTTATCATTCCCATTCTTTTATACTTGGTGCAATATCTCTTTCACATCAGCCGTGCTGAAATTGTTATCTTAAAAATTAGAATGGCATACGAAGAGGACAGTTATGTAAAATTATTGGGGATTTAGAAATAATGTCACACCCTGAATGGTTAAAATGGCTTTTAAAGTTACGTCTACTACTGTGTATAGAGAGTTAAATACTTGTGGTAATGTGGTGGAAACTGGATACCATGGTCAATTTTGTTTAGGATAGATTACATTCAAACATATTACAGGGTAGAGCAACACCGGGGCATTATATAACAAATTAAGCTTTAGTAACTGGCCTACAATGTATTCACTTTGACACTGCATGTCTGAATCTGATCTTTAACTATAGACAAAACCATAGCATATTAAATCATAGCATCAATGCCATGTGTCCCAACATTACGGCTGTGTTTCAAACCTAGTAAGCCGCCTACCTAGACAGCATCACAGGCGGCCAAAACTGCAGCACACGCGTAATATGCAGTCTAGATAGTCAGCTCACTACGTTTTGAGACACTCCCGGTGTAAACACAGTTATAACTTGTTTAAACACGGCTGATCTTGCATCCTCGAGGGAAACAACAAACTAAATGTTTGCGTAAACAGGCCCAACTGTTCTCTGTAGTGATGAGTTGTAATGCGCTTGTGTTTTTACGCGTAAAGGCCCGTGTATACATCCAGCTTTTGTTTTGGCCGGCTGTTTTCCCCCACTTCAGCCTGTGGGCCTACCACCATTATCCGTCTCCTATAATCTTAGCTAACCAGTTTAATTTATAAAAGCCACCGAAGCGTAGATCGCAACCTACTGTTGCTTCACGGATATAATAAAAAAAGAAACATTAAAGCACCTTCTGTGGCTCGTTAAACTTGGAAGAATGGTTGTGTTTATACAATCCGACAAAAAGTAGACTTGACAGGAAACAAAATATAGCGACTTTAAAGAGACATAACGCTGGATTTGATGTTGCCTTTGGTCAACATACACTACCGAATGTGTTGCATAGACTGTCAAGTGATTAGAAGAGCTGAACTCATATGTATGACTGCGGAAGCTCGGCCTCTTCTACCGCAACAATCCTCCGTTATTTAAGCCGTTTAGGAGTAAAAACGCAAGATTATTTACATCGACATGTCAATCTGCAAATAAACAGTGGCTACTCGCCTCAAAGCGACTCCGAGAGACGCCGTTCACCTCCTTACCCATCCCGAATACTACAAAGTCGGTGAACCGGAGAGGAAAAGCGCGTCCGGTTATTAAAAGGTGGCAGATGTGTCGGTGCCGCTGGTTTCTGGCGAGCTCATGCCGTGTTTTCGCTTAATTTCATCGCGTTTGTGTATGGCGAAGATGCAGAAGATCCCCAGTGGTTGAAGTATGAACGAATCAAGCTCATCTCCTGTTGTGTTTCGGATCACCCCCTCCCCTTTAGCATGGCTCGATCTCAGACAGTTTCCCCATCTGTGAACTACACTTTATATTGTTCATAAATATTGCAGCTTTATCTGTCCAGACACATTTGTCAGACTGAATGTGTAATGTGGTAGTAACCGCAGTAAAAGTATAAAGTCATTGTCTGTGGAAATTGTTCAACGTCTTAAAGGTCGAATTTAAGTCATTTATGATAAAATATGACATTTTTACTTGTCATATTACCAAACTGGAAAAAAAATATATATTTTATTTAAAAAATGCGTGAGCTTCATTTCAGATGAATTCAATGTACTATTTATAGTTTTGCACAGAAAGTTTATTTGTTTGACGTGCTGAGGATATTAAAACATTTCTGTGGGTCAGTGTGTGCAAAGTACTTGTAAAAAGTGCCATATTTTGTCGCAATGTTGTATGGAAAGTGTACAGACTGCAAATCATTTGTTTCCGGGTTTGGCGAGTCAGCCCCGCCTCCAGCTGTCATAGCCAATAAAAACTCAAAGATGGACTTCGTCATTTGACGTCATCGTGGTGGTAACACGAGGCAGCGTTTTCCCAAACAAACGTAACAGAATGGGGTTAGCAGCACGATTGCACAAATCAAATTAATGTCATATCAGAGAAACTATGTTGAAATGTTATATTCACAATTATACATTTCCGCTCTTCACAATGTATTTATTTGCAGAACTGTGAAATGGAAAGCTCTAGTCAACTAAAATCTAGATATTATTTTAGACAAGAATGCCACAGAGAATGACCTCCTGGTTGTATGCAACTTCGTGATGGTCATTTAATGTAACCATCCTAAAGGCACCAATCTAAAATACATCTGAACTTTGTTTAAAACCCTAATAATCATAAAATACTACCAGTGAAGACTTTAAAATGCATCATGTTTTAGAGAAAAAGGAATAATCAAAAAGTACTTTCATTATTATCAATATTTTTTGCTTATATAAAAAAAGAATACTCTTATTAATACAGAATTAATATTAAAATAACAAAAAAAAATTACTTACAATTATATGCCACAAAACTTTGAGCAAGTTTAACAAATCTACATTTGTGTAAAAATACCTATAGGCCTAATTAAAATATACACAAAATATACAAATAATTAACTTATGTGATGTAATGGGGAAACTATTCAGTTCATGATGACCTTTATAGAGTTTTATTTTAAAAACAAAGAAATAAAAAAAACACGTAACATAACAGCACTGCATATGATAATTCTTTTTTATTGCCTTTTTTCTAAATAAAACAGAACTCAAAAACATTCATTAAGAACATCTTTTAAATATATACATATATATAAAAAAAATAAAAAAACAGCTCAGACAATACAAACTACCATTACATCATATTAGCCCATATTATGGAAATACAAAATGCTCATCAGTAAAATCCAAACAAAATATTTGCGACTCTAGGATCCAGATAATTATAAAATGGCTCCCATGTTTTATGAAAAAAGTCTGTCTTAGAGTGGATTAGGCATGTGAGGTATTCCAATGGTATCAGTTCCATCAACACTTTTTGCCAACCTTTCACAGAAGGAGGTTTGTCAATAATTCAATGCAAAAGAATGTTTTTCCGTGCTGCAAAAGTCATAATATTGTAGTCTTCTATTAGCCACAGAAGTTAAATTATCACTAGGCAAGCCCAATAACAGTGACAAGGGGTCAAGTTCCAGATTTATACATAGAATCTTATGCATTTCATGAAGTATGTATTCCAATAATTCTGTACCAAACGACATGACCATAAACAGTGAGTCAATGTGCCAATTTCAGTCTTGCATTTAATGCAAAAAAGGGGAAAGGAATTATTAAAAGCATGTCTACGATTGAGGGGATATATGTAATCTATGTAAAGCATATCATAATTCTCAAGAAACTTGTTGTTCTCCTTGTTATCAATGAGTTTAAAAGATTTAACTATAAGGGTAATCTCAGCAAGAAAGACATCAAATCTAGGCAAAGTCTTGAGAAATTATTTTTTGTGAATAAAAAAATTGACAATGTAAAACAAAGAAATTAACAACCAGGTCAATAGCATGATCACTGCAGGAAAAGTAAAGAAATCTTCTAAAGTGGAAAGTCGAGCTGCTCTGCTAGAGACGTGGAAACACGTTCTGACGTCATCTATGCGCGACGTCAACATACCGAGCTCTTTGGAAAATACACGGATATCGGCAGCAACAGTCAACTAAAATTCATATTTAAAACCGCAACTGCAAAACCGGCATACGCTCGCCGCTGACGAATGCTTACGAAGGTGAAATTATACTGTATTAAATGTAGTTATTGCTCAATGCTAAGTTAACCATAGTTTTTGCATAATTAATTTATTAAACAACGGATGATGTAAATAATGTAGAACTTTAGTTGTTCGGTCCATTGTTGTTATACTATTCGTGGACATTCAATATATTGTTGTTATAATTTAAAGGACGAATTAAAAATATCTGTATTCGTACGCGATGAGAGTAAAATTGGCATAATCATTTAAAGTTTTCTTGCTTATAGGTTGATATGACAGGTTTGTTCAGAAATTATGTAATTAACGTTTAACACGCGAAGAGTCTGTAAATCTACATCTGCCTCAGTAAAAAAATTCAGTCGGTAATTCATTCGTGTATTGTCTTATATATTATTAAAGTTAAATTATCATTAAATAACTGAATAGAATGTAATAATGCACATTTAAACCAAAAGAATTTTGCAAGTTAAGTTCAGCTCAAGTGACGCGCGATTGAAGGCGGGATGCAGTTGCTTGCTTCTGATTGGCTGTCGCTTAGTTACCATGGAGATTGACAGCGATCTTGTTCCCCAGAAACAACGTAAGCAAGCGATTTTATAACTTTATGTTTCCAGTTTTGTTTTCATACAAAATATTAGAGTATTTATTTGAAAATCCGCTATCAAGGAGGAAACAGGCGATTTAATTCTATTCTAAATGGTGTGGGCTGTGGTATTTCCTTTTCCGTGGGACGGGCTAAAACCGCGCATGCGCAGAAGAGGCTGCGCATAATTTTGGCTGTAATGGTGAAGTGAATTCTCTCTGAATTAAGGGCTGTGGAGGGTTTTATATCCACGAACATCGCCCAATTTCTAGGTCTGGTTTCTTCCCAGAGCCGCTTATGTGAACTGGAATCAATTTTAACACATAAATATGTGATCATTTCCGATGAATATGAAACTACAGAGAGTTTACACTCAACATTAAAGCGAATATGTGAACAAGAAGCAGGCGGGTCAAGTTTTATTTTCAGTTATGTGGGACAATATCCCTACACAGCGAGCTTTACTGCTTCAAAGCTCAGAAACCGTGTGCAAGGAGAGCTAAACATCTGTTTAGGCTTTGATATCGAACAAGGATAAACAATCTAAAACAAGGACAGCCTGTATTTTTTCTTCTTTCTTTTTGTCTTTTCGATGGACGCTAGCCTAGCTAAAGCTAGCCGAGAGGTGCGAGCGCAATAAGCTGCTTGAGGCACCCTGGGAACGACCAGTGATGCCATCCTGAAGGACATATCGTTAAAAAAAAACCTTTTTGTTGTTGGGTTTATATACTCTTGGATATATTTCAACGCGATTCAGAGAAGCCACGGGACCGGGGATGACTTGTCGATAACCTATGCGCATTAAATCGAGTGCGCATCTTTGTTTTGCTTCACTCCGACTCTTCCGTCTGGCAAGATTTCACACTTTTACCCAACACTGAGCGATTTCTGCTGTTCATGTGCTGTCTTGACCACTTAGGTCCGCGTCTCCGGAGGACAGAGGTATGCCTGGATCAGACCGCCTGCATGGGACCAAGAGGAAGGCTGAATCGCTCTACCATCATCAGCTGCAGGCGGCCGGCGGCGGGGAAGGTCAGCCTTTGCACGCGGGCTCCGGTAGGCATCCCACCAAGACGACGAGCTCGTCCACTTCTTCCAAGAACAAACGAAACAAGTCCAAACACGAGGCCGAAACCGGCTCCGTGTGCGTTGCCGCCGCGCCTCCAGCAGTGGGCGCCATCAAGCCTCTGGTGGAGTACGACGACATCAGCTCCGACTCGGACACGTTCCTTGACTCCCCCGCCACGGGGACAACGGCGGAGGGCAGGGACGCCGAACGCCTAGAGCGGTCGGACTACGGTGAGGCAGGGGCGGGGGTCGCGAAAGAGAACAGGACTCATAAACACAAGCGCTCCCGGAAGAAGTCCAAAGACCTCCAACGGGTCAGGGAGTCTGCGGAGGGGGCAGAAAGTGGCGGCGGCAAGAAGAGCAGTAAGGACCGGGACAGAGCGTGTAAAGAGAGCCGGAAGAAGGCTAAGGAGAAGACTATCTCAGCTGCGTGCCTTCCTTCTACATCAATACGCTCAGGTGAGTCAGGAAGCAAAAGGTCCGGCGACTCTCTGTCATCAGGTGCGGTGCAGTCTGCTGTCAGTCTAGGCAGTAGCGCCTCCTCCGCCTCCTCCTCCATCAGTAAGGAAAGTGGCCGCTCATCAAAATCTCGCAAAGACAAGCGGAGGAGCGAGGAGTATGAGGAGGACCGGAGCCATCGGAAGCCCGCCAAAAGCCACAAGTCGAGCCCTAAAGGGAAGGATCAGTCCAGGAAAAGCGAAGCGGACAGTCCTTCCACTGCGGAGCTCGAGAACAGCTACTCCTCCAAACGCAAAGCTGCGAGCCCGAGTCCGTACCGGGAGCCTCCCAGGCGGAGCAGACAGAGGTCCGAGAGCCCCTATCGGAGGAGGAGGTCTTCAAGCCCCGAGAAGGATGGAAGTCCGTATGGGAGCAGAAAACACTCACCTGGCAGTCCTTACGGCAACCGACGCTCATCCAGCACCAGTCCAGTGTCCAGGTGAGCGAACACACAAACACACAGATCTGACAGTCCATGTGCTTCAGTCTCTCCAGAGGTTTTTGGACACGTAGGAATATTATTGCATTGTAAATGTCAAACCCAGTGATGCTTATTTTATAAGATAGGATGAATTTGCATACTTGATTTCATGTTACTCTTAAATGTAATTTTTAAAATTAGGTTTAGCATCATTTTTTGCCAAAACTACAAAAGCAATTAAATAAATCCACTTTAAATGGGACCTCGGTGTCCAGATTATAAAAGTATATAGTAACATTGTGTACACATCATTTAAGTAGTAATAGGCTGACAGATAAGTTAATACTAACTGTTTACGGTGTTTACATTGTGCTGAATTATTTTAATTTCTTTTTTTTTTCTTTAAAGTTGTATTTTATTTTTGGAGTTTTTATTTTATATTTTTTATTTATTTTAATAAATAATTGACCAGTGTTTTCAAAGGGTTGTATTTGAGTTAGTTTTAATTTAATGATTATCTATGTTAGGTGGAAATCATACTGTCCATCGGTGTTTATTATACAAATTATCATTTTAAGCATTACACAAATTTCTATGCTTTATTGAAATGACTTGTTTTTGTCATAACATAACAATTTTATATTTATTGTAGAAGATTAATGTATTTTACTTTTAAAAAGTTTGGACCTGCTTAACAGCATACTAATAATGTGTATATAATACCTTAAACTGCAGTATTCATAAGCTATCAGCACATTTCATTTAGTAATTTTCAGTTTATAGCAGCAGATCATATTATTACTGTTATCTGTTTATATATTTATAGCATGATATTCAGTCCCAATGGATTTTATTTGGACAAATGTATGTATGAAAACTCAATGCACCAGACAGTCAACTTTATGGCATTTAAAGTTTCATATTTGCTTATGAAAAAATGCTGTTGCTCATCACTACAACTAAGATCTTGCACTAACATTTACATGCTGTAGCCTAATTCCTGTATTAAAGGTCTATATTTAGTTGGGTTACCCCTCGAATTAATTTACTGATTACCAGCACACACCTTCTACTGTCAGATCAGATTCTGTGCATTGTGTGCACTATGGAAAATATAAGATTTTAATTTTAAGTATTGAAAGAAAAGCGTTTTTTGATGTAAAGGCATTTGACTGCCCACATATGAACAACCCCAGCTTGTTTAGATACTCAAAAATTTGGTGCTTGCCTGCAGTTGAAAGTAAACAGCGAGCACATAATGCATAAATGAACCCAGCGATAACGCCACAAGGAAAATCAGAAGTCACAGCAAATTTTATTAACCAGAAGCTGTTGTGGTGCATGTAGTGTTTCTTTGATCAAAAGGTGTATTGTTTACTGGGGATGTGCAAGATGCATTTGTCTGAACAGCAAGTCAATTAATATTAAAGTTGGCATGAAATGAAAATTCACCCCATCTGTTTTCTAAATGCATGTTTTAGATAACTTCTTTTTTTTTTTCTTTTTTTTTTTGAACTGGAACTTCAGTGAAAATGACAGATTCTGTCTGTTGACATATGCAGGTCATGTGTCTCCAATCATTTAGACTCCTTAAAGCCGGGGTCACACTAGACTTTGAGGATGCAAAATTACTTTGGACACTCATATGGTCGTGATATGATCTCACACTCTGCAGCATCTTTTTAAAAAAATTTATTAAACAGAAAATAATAAATCTAAAATGTAGAAACATACAATCTACTCCACTTTTCTGCAACACTGCAGTCTTAAATTTGTTCTTTTAATTCAGTTACGGGGTCACGCTGTGATGTATCAGTCTTCTATTTATCACACGGCTTCACATGATACAAATTCGCAGGTTAGAGCTCACCAAACTTGAACTTCGGAACACAGCGAAATGTGAAACTTCTTCACAAGAGCTTGCGTTTCTGCTCTCCCACAATCGAATGAAAAGTGTAGCGTGAACATAACTTACAACCCCGCTGTTGCAAGGTCATGTTCATCGGCTTCCATTTTTGAGTGCAACACGAACATCTCAAATCTAATCAACAACCGATGCATAAAACTATGTCCCGCTCTACATTTTTTTCTTTTTTGATAATCCTTTACACTCAAATGTATGTCACAATACAAAAGAAAAGATCTGGCGCTACTTCAGTTTCATTGTGACTTTAAGGAAACCCTGTGTAATTAGATTGATGCATTAAATGGGATGTTTACATTTATTTAGTTGTTTTGAGCAGGTTGACATGACTGATTTGAAAACATTTCTGTTTTTTTCTCATCCTCAGGCCTTCTCTTCGTTCTCGGAGCCGTTCTCCTCACTACTCCTCCTCTCGCCGCTCCTCTTCCCGTTCTCGCACTAAGAAACATTCTTTGTATTCTGGAGGAGCCAGCAGAGGCTCCTCCCACAGCAGTCGACCAGGCAGCCGCTCCCCTTCGTCTTCACGTTTGCCGATCACCTCCAGCCTGGGGGCCGAGCTGACGCGAAGAAAGAAGGAACGTCAGGCGGCGGCCGCCAAAAACTCCCCCTCCCTCCGACCCAACACGTCCAATGTCGCAAATGCGCTGGTGAAAAACACTGAGGCGCCGCCACTAGAGACGGCCCCGCCCTCAGAGCCTCAAAGACCGCCCTCCCCACCTCCGAATACTGTTGCGGCGGAGGAGCCCACTGTGGTTCCTCCGCCACCTCTCCCATTATCCAGTCCACCTCCGCTGCCTCTCTCATCTCCTCCGCCTCTCCCGGCGAACTCTCCTCCTCCTCTTCCTCTCTCATCCCCTCCACCTCTTCCTCTAAACAGCCCTCCGCCTGCTCCTCCACCCTCAGCACCTGCTACGCCTGCTTCTTCTCGCACGAAAAGCCCCAAACAGAAACATACGCAAAGTCCCGCACACCTGATTAGGACCTCCACACTTCCACCTCTTCCCCTGCCGCCGGTTCTTCTGGGAGACTGCAGAGACAGGTGAGTCCTGATCAGACACACTTTATAGGGAAATCCTTAAACATTCTTTACACAAGTACGCGACACAGACTCAAATATTTGGCTAATGCAACCCTCTACATTGTGAGTAAATCACTCGCATATGCGACTAAATCTTCACTCTGGCGACTAAATGATGTCTAACATTAGCCAATGGCTAATAAATTCTCAGATTTTACTCGCCAGTGTGTGAGTTGGAGCAGGGGCGTAGATTACGTGGGGGACGTGTCCCCCCCACTTTTAATATCACGTAAATTCGTCCCCCGCACAACTAAAAAAATTACTAGCCAATGGTGATTCAATTGCCAAGGTGTCCGTAGAGGGTTGTAATGTATTGCAAATGCACAGTCAGCTCTTGCATTTCTCTGGTGGTCGAGGGTGATGGATTTGATAAAGTTTGTCAATTAACTGGATGTCATCATTTGGATAGCTAGCTGTAAACAACTTCTAAAGTTGACATTAAATGACGTCACCATATCTATTTTCTGAATGTATTTTTTAAGATCCTATTCTGATTGATTTATCTGTGCATGCGTTCCATTTTTAAAATTTGTTTTGACTTTGTAATGTTTAGTCAAAATGTCTTAACTCAGTCTTCTGGTGAAATGATAGACTTCTTTTTAGTTATGTATGCCAGACTTCTCCAGTCATTTAGTGTGCTTAAACTCGTATTTAACTCTCATTTTGGGTTATTATTATCATTATTAACTAATACGAAAACTTTTAAAAACATACTTGTAAGAAAATTTAAATGCATAAATAACTTGTAATACATTGGTAACTAAGTGAAATAAGTTAAAGCACTAAAATTTACAGAAAACAAAAACTAGAACTGAAACAATAAGTTGAATAGTAGAATTTAAAAATGAATAAAGATTTTTATAAAATTAATAAAAACATTTCATAAAAATAAAAAAAAATAAAACAATTATTCAAAATAACTAATATTCAGAATTAAAAATATAAATAAAAGCTAAAATTCAGCTAGAATTTTATAATAAATACAACATATTAAAATGATGGTAGTATATAAAAAATACTAAAATAACTGATATAGAAGTAAAGCTTTTTTATCACAACTTTAATCAGTTTGCTCATTCTCTACAAATTGACCTTAAAAAAAAGAGTTTATGCTAAAGTCCCTTGTGGAAGCACTGATTATGCAGCTCTACTTGTGTTGCACTTTGTTTTTTGATACGGTTCGAAATGCAATAATGCAGAAAATCAAGCTTAGCTTAGCATGGCTTGATACTTTTGCGTTCACATACTTGCATTCGGTAAGTTTTGGGCCTGAGACCTTGTTTTGATCTCACATCAGGTGCTATTTTGACATGCTCTTCAGGTTTAATGTCACAGAATATTAATAGTCATAATTATTTTTCATTCATTTTATAAAACTTTTTTCTGTGTTTTACTTTGTGTTAAAGTTATGTTTAAATTTAACGTGCTTCTGATATTTGGTTATCTAATGCAACAACATTCATATATTTTAAACATTGTACAGTAGGGCTGTCGCGGTGAGGGAATTTCCCTTGCGGTAATTTTGAGTGGCTCAATAGCGCGCGCGGTATGTGGTATTATCGCCATACGCGAAAAAATAAAACACGCAAAAATCGCGGTTCTTGCATTCCTCTGCGGTTTGCTCGTCAATATTGATGAGCAAATTGTATTAAAATAGTATTGCGATATTGCGGTTATCGCGACAGCCCTATTGTACAGTGCTCCAAGTATTTGGACACTTAAGCTATAGAAAACTTGTTCATCGGCTCCATTTGTACATGTAAGCTCTTGGTCACATGATCAAATCTTATATGCTTGACCAATTACATATTTATCCTAGATACATGTGGGCATGTTTGGGCTGTAGGGAGTGTAAGCTGAGAACAGGCTGTTATTTCCTCACGGTGTCTGGTTGCACTAAATGCAAATAGCTTTGTTGACAAAAGCTGTTGTCATTAACTACACCCAACATTACGCAGACTATTCACTGTTAGTGTGCATAGCTTATTTCTTCTGTTTACATTTTGTGTGAATTCCATGTAACAGCATTTGCATTTTTTTTAACTAGAAGTTATTTATTGCCATTTATGCCTGTAAATAGCATTGTATGCACCGTTATTTATACTTACTATAAATAGCAGCTACTTAGTGTTACTTTCTTTTAGTGTAAATATTCACTGCTCTAATTTCCCTGCCAAAAACCTTACATGATGGAATGTGTAACTAAATAGCCAGAAAATGTGAGTAGTGCTTATCTGTGCAGAATGCACCACCATGAATTTGGCTTTTCCACAATTTCCCATGTTTCTATATATTGGCGTCTAGATTTGTTCAAATCCCTAACACTTGTATTCGTTATAAATACAGTTTTATATAATATGCATGTCTGTTGCATGACATGTTGCAGTCTAAGAGACCCAATTCTGGTCACAAGTCGAGGCAAAATGTGTAGTTACTGTGTTTTAGAGAAATAAAGAAACATCCAGTTCACTTGTTGAAAAATAACTTCTTGTGGGTTATTCCACATTTTATTCCACATTCACCTCTTACTTTTTCAGTTACTTTTAGCTAGAGTTGTGAGGCAAAACAAAAAAAGGCACGGTAGGTGATTTGGTTCAAAAAAATTTTTTGTTATGCTGGTTGAAATTCTTTTCACATCCCGATAGCAATCAATAAGTTATGTGGTCTAAATTTTTTTATATGTATTTGTATCATCTGAGGAAGGCGTAGAACCATAAAATGTTCGTCCAATCATTTCCCTTGGTCCGAGGACCATGATAGGCTGTCCTACCTGCCTGTCAACGTATGTATTTGCATACCTCTGTGCACCCTGTTTGCACAGACATGATACGTCATCAGCGAGAATGGAAGGCATTATTATTGTAATATTATGTGCTTTGTACTGTAATGTTTTCTCACCGGTGAATGAGACATGAGGTAATCTGACAGCGTTGCATTCAACCCTCCACTAAGGCGTAAATATATTTTAATCATGACAACTCGCGGAAGATTTTAGCATGGTGATGGATATGACAATGTTAATGTATTTGGTCTTGGCGGAATAGATCTGCTACGCTGCTGCTGAATTGCTGCTGCTGTTGGTTATTGCTGTAGTTGTAGATTATTGCTGCTGCTGCAAGCAAGTACAGGAACTTGCTACTGCCAATGCATACGGCGATACGGTGCCATGAGTATTTAAGACATACTGCTACTGCTACTGCATAAATAGCATATAAAATAACCCGTAGCAGATCTATACAGGTGGAGCTGGGGAAGGTGGAGGGTTTCAGAGAAACTCTGAAAGCATGCTGCAGGAATCTCTAGTGAAAGCTAGCCAGCCATATAAATGCAAGTCAGTAAGCTCATTGGCTGCATATGCAGCATGAACCAATCAGCTTGTGCCAAGTCGTTTAACTCTCTGCTTTCCCAGAAGTCATCACGAAAGGACAGGGAAAAGGAAAAAGAAATCAGGACACGCCTTCTCAGTGAGTTGCCCCTCCCTCCAGTTCTCCCTGGAGGAGACCCCTCCCCTCCACAGTCCCCTGCTCGAGAATCCCCACTGCTTCTGCAACCAACCTTCAAGAAGAGACCAAAGTAAGTGCCACTGCGGTCGTCAATCAGGGCAATTCTCAAGATGATTGTGTGACATTAATAGTGTTAATTTCGTTAACCAAAAGTGACACACAAAATGTTCATTGACAAGCTTTTTTCCCATGACTAAGATGAGATGACAATACGGTCAATAAACGAAAACTGTGACTATATCAACATGCAATATCATTGATGATAAGAGACAAGACTAAAATGTATTTTTTTAAAATAAGAACTATAACAACATTTCTTTTAATTTTCGTCGAAAAAAAACAAACTAGACAGAATATTATTTCGGACTGCTGTATATGCCGCTACTACACGAGCTTTCATGTGTGCGCTTGCCAGATATCAAGAGTTCAAATCCGCAAATCAGAGCTTCTCTGTTAAAAGGATACATTTTCTGCCCGGAGTTTTGCTTTTTTTTTGCAATCCGACAACCATACACATGCACTTGTTCTTTCTTTATTGCGGAAGCGTCAATGATGATCTGAAAACACAGACAAACAAGTAAGCTGAAGTTAAGCGCTCTCCAATGTGAGATGTTCAGCTTAAATGAAAGTGTCATTCAGCCAGTCTGTGTTCTGTCATGAGATCTCGACTATTTTGTTTGTGATTGTGATCGCTGAATAAATGCACTTACTCAACCGCTGTTGTTTTATTAGAGAAACATTATTGCAATTTGGAATTATTGGAATTACTGTCAAGAATTTTACTGTTAAAGTATTTATTTGTATGTTTTTGCCAGTTTTCATAAGGGAGAAAGAGAGAGTGCATATCTAAGTCTTTGATATTAATTTATATATTAAATAGACTATAATAAATCAGTACACTAGATGAGGTAAAATAAACCATGTTTGAATCCACATTCTATTGGTTTGTGCTTATTGGTGAAAGTGCAATACCTGAAATGTAAAAATACATTTCTCAAATGATAACAATCTTTTCGATTATAATTGAGCAAAAACTTTTTTTTTAGCAGCTTAACTATTATACAGCATGATGAAAATGTGAAAGTTTTCATTGACTAAAACTAGACTAAAATGCTCAGACATTTAGTCGACTAAAACTTGACTAAACAAAAACAGGACAAGCTTGACTAAATATGATAACTAAAAAGTACATTTGACACCATGACTAAAACTAATTTAAAAGACTAAGACTAAATTAAAAATGGCTGACAAAATTAGCACTAGATATTAACATTCTGATACACTAATGTTCAACAGTGTGGGGTTGGTAGGATTTTATGTTTTTGAAAGAAGTCTCTTATGCTCACCAAGACCAAGATCAAAAATACAGTAAAAACAATAATATTGAAAAATATTATTGCAATTTAAAGTAACCTCTTTCTATCTGAAAATGTTTTAAAATGTACAGGGTTTCTATGGGTCTTAAAGCCTTAATTAGCCCTTCCACAGATTAAGGCCTTAAAAAGGTTTTAAATCAAAGCAGAATGTCTTAAATTCATAAAGTCACGGCATTAAATGTTTCATGCATTGTTAAAAATTAATATTGTCCTCAGTATTTTTGTTTGTTGTCCAGTTCTTAAATCAAGATATATTTACTTGTGCAGGAAAATAAAGATAATAAAGAATTCTTGTTTTCTGAGAAACCAAACAAAATTAAGTGAGTTTATCCTTAAAACAAGAACAGATCTGCAAGTTGAATTTAGTAGATTTTTCTGACTCCATTTGCAGATATTTGTTTTCTTTTTTACCCTAAACTCACTTCATTTTGATCAATTTCTCATAAAATAAGACTTATGTCATTTTGCATCTCCAGTAACTTTGACATTTGCACTGGAAAACAAGACAAAAATACTAAGGAAGAGCATTATTTTTTGGCAGTGTGATCAGAAGGTACAGTAAAAGTTATTTCAGTTTTCTAGTGGTTGTGAGCAGAGCAGTTCAAGCCTAAAGCTTTTTATATTTTTTAGATTGTATTTTAAAACATTGAAGTGTTGCTAATAGAACGCATTGTGCATTTAGAGAACATACTTTTGATCAAATTAATGTGTCCTTTGCTGAATAAAAGTATTAATGTCTTTTTTGAACCCAAACTTTTGAATGGCAATGTATGTTTGTTTGTTTTTTATTGGTAAGGGTTGAGAGAAATCCTTAACACAGTTATTACTTTAGTCATGGGATGCTCGAATGCTTCATTAGGTTTTGAAAAATGGCAGAATGAGAGAAAGTGACTTGGAAAAAGTTTTTTTCTCAAGTGTCTGTCAAATGTGTGCAGGATTTGCTGTCCTAGATATGGAGAGAGGAAGCAGACTCAAATTGACTGGGGCAAGCGCTGTGTGGATAAGTTTGACATCATCGGCATCATTGGAGAAGGAACCTACGGTCAGGTGTACAAGGCAAAGGACAAAGACACAGGTGTGTTGTTTAAAGGGGATGAATACGAGGGTGTGGAAATGTTATAATCCACTCCAAAATGTTTGTTTGTTCCTTAAAATAGAAATCATTTTGTAACATTGTAAATGTCTTTACTTTTACTTTTGGTCAATTAAATGCATCCTTGCTGAATAAAAGTGTTAATTTCTTTCAAAAGAATAATTCTTACCCCAAACATTTGAACGGTAGTTTGTTTGCATTGCTTTAAATGCAGAATGATGTGCTCTTAAAGGGGTCATATGATGCTATTTTAAAGATCATTATTTTGTGTATTTGGTGTAACAGAATATGTTGACATGCTTTAATGTTCAAAAAACACATTATGTTTCAAATACTGTACATTATTGTAGTTCCTCTATGCCCCGCCTCTCTCAAACGCATCGTTTTCTACAAAGCCCCTCTTTCCGACAAGCGCAGTCTGCTCTGATTGGCCAACTAACCCAGTGACGCCCCTTTCCATAATCGCGAGCTTCAGCTTTCAACATAAATGTAAAGACAGTACATAATGTCCTTAGTTTTACCGTCAGTTCAAGCCCGAAAGGGGAACAGAGTCGCGTGGCAGACACAGTGATGATGCTCGTATTTATTTGCAGTACACAAGCCGCGATTAAGAAAGCTGACTCCACTGTGATGTGACCCTGTCTCTCTCACGCACACACACGACTAGAGTTGGGTACCGTTCACATTTTAACCGGTACAGTACCGGTATCGGTATCTGAATTTCGGTGCCGGTACCCAACGTTACCTTTTTTCGGTACTTTACTCTCTGTATAATTACAAAAACATTTATTTCAGTGAAAAAAATAAGTCCAAAAGTCTCAATTTCAACATTTTGAACAATACGGCCCTACAAACTTTTTCTTTCTTTTTTTTCTTTTTTTTTCTTTCCAGAAATTCTTGTTTTAATTTTTCTGAAAATCAAATGAAGGCATTAAACATTTATTTTAAATCAAATGAAAATTAAACCCTTTTATTTTTTGGCAAACAAACTGAGGTTTACTGTTGAAATTAATTCATGGAAGAAAAATTGTGTAAATATTCCTTTAAAAAAATTAATAGGCAAATAATTGTATTATTTTTTCTACAATTAAGTGATTAATCTGGTTGTAATATTTATTTTTATCATTTAATTGTTTTATTCAAACATGCTGATGCTAGTTTTCTCAAATGAAACTGTAAAATTCTCGCGAAGTGACTATCATAGCAGCTCTGGAGATTACGTTTTTGTGTTCATTTCGTCATATAGTGAGACGCAGAGGCCGAAAATCACCGCGAGCGTCACGCGTGCTTCAGTATTTGTGTAGTAAAACAAAACCGCGTTTCCACCGTCTTTTTTGCATTTTAATATTCACAGACACTAGTTCATATCGCAATTCGAATTAAGTGGCAGTGGCTACTTTTTGATTTATTCGTCAATTCCGTGGCATTCAGCGCTATAGAGTAAATTATGTTTTTATGAATGGACTCCACGATCCCGTCCTCGTTTTCGCAGAGACCATATGGCCCTCGAAATGTAACCACACTTTAGAACATTTCGGCTTGCCCTGTGTGTTTGTTTGAACGAGTTGCAGGGGTGACATCACGTCACTGGGTCTCTCTTTCTCTCTCTGTAGCGTATGCGCCCAGATGCGTTCTCACCGATTTTAGTACCGAAATTTGGCACCGATTGATTTAACGTGAATCGGTACTCTGTAGTACCGACGCAATTCGGTCGGTACCCTTAAAAGTACAGAGTTTGGTACCCAACCCTACACACGACGCGGTACTCTACACGGCGCAAAACTCTGCATTTGAACAGTCAATAGCAAATACTTAATCTATTAAGAAAACATACTTACAGTAGCTGATTCAGAATACGCGCCAGACTGTCATAGCAAAGTCAAAATTGACCCTTTTTTTTTTAAAATAGCCTTTTCACAGCCAGCCTTGTAGGCTACTCTCCTAGGTTCACAAAACTGTCGTCCATAAAATGCGTTGCACAAATTCGAACATCTGGGTTGTGCTGTTCTGTTTTAAATAAATCTTAACCAATGATTTCTCATTGCATCTACTTTCGGAAGGCCAAAAAAAGTGCTTTTGCTTTCGCACAGAAACACACAGCGTCTCCCTGACATTAAAAGGAAAAATAGAAATCGCATCATATGACCACTTTAATTAGAAAAGCTGTGCTTACCTTATCATTCTCAGTAATCACACCATTATTTTTGCCAATGCAAAAACCCAACTCTGTGCGGCTACTTTTAACACTTAAATCAACGTGTTTTCAATCATGTTTTTGAGAAGAGAAGACGTGTTGACAGCATTCTGTTGTTTTTTTGTTTCTAAAGGAGAGCTGGTGGCATTGAAGAAGGTGAGATTGGATAATGAAAAGGAGGGTTTCCCCATCACTGCCATCAGAGAGATCAAGATCCTGAGACAACTCAACCATCGCAGCGTCGTCAACATGAAAGAAATTGTCACTGATAAACAAGACGCTCTTGACTTCAAAAAGGATAAAGGTTTGTTTAAATGCATTTGCATGTTTATATTATACTTATTTATTTTGCATGTGCAGTTTTTTTTAGTAGTGAACACAATCTCCTCTTAAGAGTTTGTGGCATATTTGTGGCCCTCTCAAATTCCCTGAAACGTCTTCATTTTCTGCCTGCACACACTCATTTTCTATGCCTACCTCTATGTATTAACATGTATGTGTTTTTTGGCATTAGGTGCATTTTACCTGGTGTTTGAGTACATGGACCATGACCTGATGGGGCTGCTGGAATCGGGGCTGGTGTCTTTCTCCCAAGAGCATGTGCAGAGCTTCATGCGTCAGCTGATGGAGGGATTAGATTATTGCCACAAAAAGAACTTTCTACACCGAGACATCAAGTGCTCTAATATCCTGCTAAATAACAGGTACCAGTTTGTGTTTTTAAACATTGCATGATGACGGTCTCTTATTAGTGTCATAGAGATTTACATGTTGTTTGTTCAGCTACACTGCCATTCAATTTTATTTAAGAAATGAATCATTTTATTCTGCAAGGATGCATTAAAGTGACAGTCTGAAATAAACGCTTGAGTCAATTACATTTTTCATCCTTTTTTTTTTTTTTTTTGTTTAAATCAGTGATGTTATGTTCTAACATTTAAGCAATACTTGCAAATACCTGCATTTTGCGTTAAAATGATCAAATGTGGCCCTGTTTACAAAATAGTGTTAAATAATATATTATGCAAGATTTAGAGCTTTTGGAAATTGCATTCCATTCGCCCTACTTCTTTTTATGTTTTTTTTTCTCCTTTATACAGTGGTCAGATCAAACTTGCCGATTTTGGTTTGGCTCGTCTTTATAACTCTGAGGAAAGGTAAGTGAATGTTAGGTTTTTCGATCTTACTGTAGGTTGTGCTAAAAAAAAAAGATTTTTGTTTGATTGAACTATGGCAAACATGGGACACAAATTTCAGCTTTAAAGTTTCTGTAGATTTCATGTGATTTCAGAAACAGGAAACATGATTGGTATTGAAAAGCTTTGATGTATAACACTAACATGATGGTCATTCCCAGTCGGCCGTACACTAATAAGGTGATCACACTGTGGTACCGCCCACCTGAGCTGCTACTGGGAGAGGAGAGATACTCTCCTGCTATTGATGTCTGGAGTTGCGGGTAAGATGTCCTGTCAGTTTCCCATCTCACTACATTTACACGCCAACTGCTGTTCATGTAAAAATGTTGTTTGGGTTTCTTTTTGCTGTTGTGTAAAGGTGTATTTTGGGAGAGCTCTTCACTAAGAAACCAATTTTCCAGGCCAACCAAGAGCTTCTACAGCTTGAGCTGATCAGGTACGATTCTCACAATCTCTGAATGCACATGAAGTGTTGCTCTAATGCTGAAGGATGGGAAAGGACTTTGTGAAATGCTGTTACACTCCATCTGTTTTGTATTTTGTTTTGGTCAGTCGTTTGTGCGGGAGTCCGTGTCCTGCTGCATGGCCAGATGTAATTAAGCTGCCGTACTTTAATACCATGAGACCCAAGAAACAGTACAGACGACGCTTACGGGAGGAATTCGCTTTGTAAGTTCAACCTGATTTTTAAAATGCTTCCATCATTCTCTGACAGATTTTAATCTTTGTTGAAAGAAGTCTCACACTCTGAGACTGCATTTATTTGATCTAATGCAGTAAAATCAGTAATATTGTGAAATATTGTTACAATTTAAAATGACTGTTTTCTATTTTAATATAGTTTAGAATGTAATTTATTCCTGTGATGCAAAGCTGAATTTTCAGCATCATTACGTCAGTCTCCAGTGTCACATGATCCTTCAGAAATCATTCTAATATGCTGATTTGCTGCTCAACCAACATTTCTTCATTCAAAAATAAAATATTTTTATGGAAACCATGATACATTTTTTTTTCAGGATGATTTGTTGAATAGAAAGGTTGAAATAACAGCAATTAATTGAAATGAAAATGTTTTGGAACATTTATACATGTCTTCACTGTCACTTTTGATAAATTTAATGCATCTTTCCTGGACGAAAGTATTAACTTCTTTCAAAAACAAACAAACAAAAAAAATCTTACTCACCCCAAACCTTTGCATGGTATAATAAAATAATCATTTAGGTTGTGCATGATTTTTTTTGCCATGGTTATGCTCCTGAATATTAAAAATGTATACCTCTAATGCGCAGTGTAAGTTGTTTTGGATATGTCTGCTAAATGCATAAATGTATTTATCTTTTTATTAGTGTTTATGGTTTACGGTACTTCCTGTATAATCACAATGTCACTCTCTCTAGTCTGCCCACCTTTGCTCTTGACCTGCTGGACCACATGTTGACGCTGGACCCCTCGAGGCGCTGCACAGCCGAACAGGCCCTGGCGAGCCAGTTTCTGTGTGATGTGGAGCCCAACAAGATGCCGCCACCTGAGTCAGTGCACACATAAACACATCTTATGTGATTTAAATCGTTTTTATGATGTCAATGACACTACATTTGTGAAACACTTATTACTCAATCACATTTTGTCATTTAGTTTTAAAATGCAGCTGCAATTAAATGTTGTTAGGCTATAGAATATAATGAGATTTAACTCCGTAATAATGACCAGCTGATTATATGACAGTTTATACTTGTAATTACACATTCGTGATAGTTTTTTTTTTTTGTAATTATGTGGCCTTTCTTTTTAGTTTGCCTCATTGGCAAGACTGTCATGAGCTCTGGAGCAAGAAGCGGCGGCGGCAGAGACAAAGCGGAGCGGCTGAGGATTTCCCTGTTGCCAAAGTTCCCCGAAAGGAACCCGCAGGACCTTCAGGAGGGGAGAACAGCCGCCCGCCGCCGAGTCCACCCCCACCACCCTCATCTGCCCATCCCGCCCCGGCAAACATCACAGCCAGTGAGCTGGAAGGTGGGCCATGACTTGACAGGAACCTTTGGGTTCTGTTCACCTGAAAATTACAGGCAGGTAGTTAGAGCAACTAAACTATTCAGGTAGGCAGATCTCCAGAAACGGGGCAGAGTGGCCTCTTGTTTAAACTGGTCATATAACGAAATTAGTTTTTTTTTTTTTTTATGAATTGGGCCTGTTAGAGCAGTGTTTCCCAACCTTTTTTTAGTCGCGGCACCCTTTGGAAATTTTAACAAACTTGTGGCACCCTACAAAATTAATTTTGTCACAATATTTGAATTTCTAACTTCGATGTGATAATTTGAAAGAATAGATATTCGGTACAACAGGGAAGAACTGCAGAATATAATGCCATACAGATATTTTTAATATTATTAAAAAAAATGTGTCCATCAATGCCCTGCTCTCGACAGACGGCACCCCGGTTGGGAAACACTGTGTTAGAGGAGCTTGCCCTTATCTGTGCTTTTTAAACTGGCTGGATGTATAATGAAGTGCTGATGAACGTAACTTTTCAGCTTGGATTTAGAAATCCTGCTTATAGCAATGCTGCATAAGTATAAGTCCAGTCACCTTATCTCTACAACAGTGAGTCTAGCATCAGCCTTTATCATTTTAAATTATTTGCATGTGAGGCTGTACTTTTTTTTTTTTTAATTTTATTCTATATTTTAAACTTTTACATAATGTTCACTTATGTCAATCTGTATTTTTTGAACCAGAATAGTCTCAAGAGATTTTACTTGATAAATTTCCACCCTATCACTTTTTTCACCTTTTTTATCACCTTTTTGTTACTTTGCTATTAAGTTTATGCAGATGACATCTGTTATGATTGGCTAAATCCCTCACCTCTGAAAGAAGTGATAATCCATGTTTATGGGTTGCATTTTTACTGTGGCGGTTAATATTGTTGCTGCCTCGCCATTTTTCTATAAAAGCCTCCAGTACATGGACCCTTTCCACAAACTGTGATGACGAGTTATTAGCATGGTAAATCTAGTAAAGTTTTCATTTTAATTAAAAAAAAAAAAAAACATATTTATACATCATACTTTGTGTTTCTCTACCTTGGCATTAAATTACAGAAAACTGGTTAATGCTGCTACGTGACTGTTTCTAATACTATGGCTGAGGGAGTGATAGCGAATTTGACATCTTTCTCTTTTTTTAACCAATGTAATCAGTCTCTCTATTTTTGTGGGAACTCAAAAATAATATTTGGAGTTTCAGTTTTACACTGTAAGTTTACCCAACTATGAAGACTTCTGCTTCTGAAAACCCTGTAAATGTGAAAAGGGTCCATTGTTACATTACAGGTTCAGTATCATCATCTTCCTCTCTTTCCAGCTTCCTCAATGTTTCAAAACTGTGCAGCCAACTGCAATATGTAAACGGAAAGGTGAGAAACATCCTGTTTTCCATAATCAGCAATCAAATATTAACATTTCTATGCACAGGTTTGGGAGCCGCAGCAGAGCAGTTGAACCAGACCGAGCTGGCAGTGCTGCTGAACCTGCTGCAGGGTCAAACAGACAATCTAAGCATCCCGCAGATGGCGGAGTATCTCCGCAGCTCGTCCTCTGAAGCCTCCACGTCCGTGCTCTCCAGAACGCCCGCCGCCCTCTCCACCCCTGAACCGGACGCGGCGCCGCAGCTCGAACTGCTTAGTCATCTCTCCACCTTAATCCAATCCTCTAGCGTCCCGCAGCCGGCAGAACTCCCGCAGGAAGACCAGGCCGGCCTGCTCACGCTCCTGTTGGAGCAGCTGATAAAGGCCCCGGCGCCGGGGGCGGAGCAGGCAGATGAAAGCAACGGAGTCCGGCCGGATGAGGGTACGGCACGAGGCGGCTCCGCTTCTGTCATGGGCGGCGATCGCGAGGGCAAGTGTTAGTTAAGTCTATGGGGGGGCGGGACCTGAGTAGTCAAATGCTGTGATTGGCTCCTCTGAAGCCTCCACGTCAGTGCTCTCCAGAACGCCCGCCGCCCTCTCCACCCCTGAACCGGACGCGGCGCCGCAGCTCGAACTGCTTAGTCATCTCTCCACCTTAATCCAATCCTCTAGCGTCCCGCAGCCGGCAGAACTCCCGCAGGAAGACCAGGCCGGCCTGCTCACGCTCCTGTTGGAGCAGCTGATAAAGGCCCCGGCGCCGGGGGCGGAGCAGGCAGATGAAAGCAACGGAGTCCGGCCGGATGAGGGTACGGCACGAGGCGGCTCCGCTTCTGTCATGGGCGGCGATCGCGAGGGCAAGTGTTAGTTAAGTCTATGGGGGGGCGGGACCTGAGTAGTCAAATGCTGTGATTGGCCTGCAGGCTCGTTATGCGAGACCCACCCGCATCAAAGAAACCATACGCTTTTCTTGCAGAGATGTCACTCTTTTTTTTGTTGTTGTTGTTTTCTTCCTAATGTCTTACAGAGGGGGAAACGTTTAATTAGTTGAAAGGCTTCAGGCTAACGAATAGAGAAATAAATTGTCATGTTTATTTGAAAATCCAGATGTTTATTTTCTGCTTTTCGTGAACTTCCATTGAGTTTTACATTCATGCAGTATTTAGTTTTATTTTCAAAGGAACAAAATCCCCAGAGCCCCGTCTGCTCGCTCACTGCGTCGGTGCCCAGTGGACTTTTTGTGTGCAAAAATCTGCTCACAGACAGGACGTGGGAGCTCTTCATCTATTGGCACACACTGCAAGTCCTTGAGAGATGGTTACAGTGTGTGCGTTAAATTGTCACTCTTTTAAATCCAGATTAAACAGTCCTAATAAAGAGCCATTTTGGACACATCTCTATTTATGTGCCTCTCTTCTAGTACATTCAGAAAACAACACTTAACTGGAGTAAGCTCAGTAACATTTCCGACTGCTGACTTGCATGCATCATTTAGCATCTTACTGAATTGGTTTAGCACAGTTGGGTGAATCTTCAAATCCTGTCAATAATATGCCCGTATCATATTTCACTCTGACATTGAAGAATTTATATAGAATTTGTTTTTCATTACTGTAATGCATAACCTATATTTTATATCTGCATTACAGTAGTAAGAATATAATTTATATGTACATTTCATTGCTGTAATGCAAAAAAATATAGTATATATTGCATTACAGTAAGAATTTAAAAAAAAATTTTTTTTTTAATTAATAAAATTATAATGTATAATTTTATACAGCATGGTAGCTTACAATTTATGTTCATTTAAAAAAATACAGAATAATTTAAGACAGAATGAGTATCATTGGGAAAAATCTGAGGACATTCCAAAAGACAAACGTGAAACATCTACACACTTTATGGTAATGAGAGGTGGAAAATGTGCTCATTTAAATTTATATAGTTTTAAATTTGATTTATTCTAATTTATTATGCAGATGTCAAGTACAATAAATCTAAAAAAAAGTCTTAATGCAAAATGAATGCATTTCTTTGTTTTCTTACTGATTTTTGGGGTGAAATGTGAAGCGAGCATTTTCTTGACATTTAAAAGATGCATCCATTTATTTGTGAGCATGAGATGCTCTATAGCTTTTGCTGGTGTAATTCGGCTTAATGAAGTCTAATTAAGATCGACTGACCTTGTCTTGCTGACTGACACCCTCCAGCTCATTTTTGTTCCAGCTCACACACGCTTTTGTTTCCACTCTCAGTTCCTCATTGGTCGTTTTCATTTCTCTCTGCCCTCTTTTCACATGGTCTTTGGGGTCTGTGAATACACACTGTAATAAAGCCTTATTGTGAGATGAGTGTCAAATAAATTCTAGCTATACTGCATATTTTGTCCTCACACTTATCAATATTTGCTTTGATGCAAAAGAACTACTGTTTGTTTTTCACTTTATTTTTGTGTGGGATCTCACCATCAATTTGTTGCATTGATCAAAGTCTCCGAACTCTTGTAGATATCCTCTATGTATGTGAACGTGATGTTTACTAGTGCAAAAGGAACACATCTAGTTTGATAGTTTATTGAATAGTAATAATAGTCTGCTAATATTTAGACAAACTACTGCTACAATATAAAATGCACAAATAAAAGCTAAAATCAGTTTAGATAAAACACATTTCAATAGTTCCTGAAAAAAAAACATTTTTTTTGCATGAGCTAATTCACTCCCACAAACCCTATTTTTTTTTTTTCACATATGCATCTCTAGTTTTAAACTCTCCTGTTGTGATCTTATAGAATATTTCTCACCTCAACACATCTATTTCAGCTAGGATTTGGTTAATTCAGTGTCGAGGTCCAAAGACTGGAGTAAACAACTGCCTTTTTAGCTTATGACTGAGTTTGCTGAGACTAGCTGTACGCAGATTTAAAGTGAACTATACTTTAATTCTTTTTTTCCCCCGTATTTAAATTTGGATGTGTCACTGCCATTGTTCCATAGCTCAATAAATATATATATATATATATATTTATTTTTTTAATTAATGATTTTTTTTTCCCTAAATAGCCTTTTCTTAAAATCATAAATATATCGCTATGACCCATTTATCTTTAAGATTAACAACTTGGATGTTTAAAAACAAAATAGCTTCAACTCTAGCTATATGTATTAGTCCTGAAAGAAGCTAAGTCTAAAATTGAAACAATATAATTTTGCTGAAAACTAAGAAACGTTTGTTAGATCTTATTTAGCATTTTAAATGTATGCAAATCTTATAAGACATTACAACAACGGTTTCATAACCAAAATATTAATGAATTTAAAGAAATTCATGAATAATATACATTTAGAAATGTAAATTTCCCATAAACAAATGCAATTTGTCCATTCAAATTCATGACAAAATACAGTGCTGCAAGTGGTGCACCATGATTGTTTCTATTATTGTAAATGTATTATTATTATTATTGCTGCTGCTGCTACTTCTACTATTGCTGTATAGAGATCTTTAAATGTGCCAGTTAAAAATAATATTTGCATATTACTTGGCAAATGTACCCAACATTTGCAGTGTACTTTTAAATTTCTATTTTTTTTTAAATACTAAGTGACTGCAACCAATCACTGTAGGTCAGTCTAAGTTTGTTGTGGAGGAGTTTTATCCCACATCTCCTGCAGAACTGCCTAAATGATGAATAATCAGTCGAGTGTCAAGCATGGATTCATTTCAGGTTGACTCCTCTATTAGCTTAAGGGACAGTCCAACTGTTTTTCAAGCACTTTAGCAATGCAGACGTGGGCGCTTGCTTTTGGCTCATCGTGTTTTCACTAAGTGTGTATCTTAACTCTGATTCAACTAGAGGTCATTGAACGATGACTAATTTTCTGATCCAGATCAGAACTTGATTGTACTGCAGAAATAAATCATGAAAGTCTTACTAATAGATACAAATTACATCAATTTATTATCTTATTTATAGACACATTTGAGACCGACATCACGCCCCCTGTATTAATGTATTAGGCTCGGCTTTGCAATAAATAAAACAACTGAAGCATTAGAATTATCATCCGGTGAAGGGTCGCGTTATATAAATCTAGCATATAAATGATAAGTTATATAAATCTAGACTGCTCTTTCTTTTTTCCTTCCAGTTGCTGCATTAGCAAAACCCAAACTATTTGAGAGCATCATTTCACCATTATAACACAGCTAAATTATTATACAGATTATTTGTTAATATTACTCTTACTAATTATATACCTTTTTTAAATAATTTTAAAAAGATGAAACGAGTTAAGTTTATACCCATATACTCCAGAAGTTAGACCATAAATAGAGAGATATTTAATATTCAAAGAGACATTTAAATGTTCATGTTATACATTTAACAGAATTATATAAAAGTGCTAAGAGCAAATAAAGCTAATATTTGCTTGCAAGTGAAGAATAATCCCTTAATGCAGATTCATATTTTCATATGTGCATTAATACGGCTCCATTTTAATTCTATTTAGATTTAATTATTTTTTTTCATTCTAGTTATGTCAAAATCACGATTTGTTCATCATTCAAAAAAATTAACAACAAACAGTGTAATAGTAGTAATAAGCTTATTTATTGCTTAATAATCAAGTTGTATGACTTGGCATATTCAATATTTCCAGATAAGTGCATTTAATCTGTTTTTGTAGTATAAAGCCAAAGTGAAGTTTTACCTTCTTATTCTTGGTTTATTAAAATTAATATAAATTTAAGTTCTCACAGTGTAGTAATATATGTATTGCTTAAATGTTGTAATATATATTTATTCATTGATCATAATATTGTCTTTTTTTTTTTTTGTCTTTTTTCCTGGCAGATTCTGCATTAGTAAATCCAGAGGCAACAGGCTCGAAGTCTGCAAAACACGCTCACGACATTACATCAGATGTAGCTACGACCCTGCTTCAGCTTATCTCCCAGCAGGCCTCAGAGAGCAGACATCCCGCTACAGACCTGCGCCCTGGACGGGGACCCTCCTCTCCCCCGAGCGCCACCCCACCACCGGCTTCCTCTTACGCCCCCTCGCATAACGCTGCTCCTGAAACTCAGTTCACCCAGGACCAAGACCTGAGGTACACCCTGGGAGGAGCCGCCGGCCCTTCCTGAACCGCTGCACTGATCTTTTTGTTCGTTGTCATTTTTTACTTAATGTGCTTTAACTGTTAAACCTACGTTTACCACATATTAATATATTTCTTTCTTCCGTTAAAGGAAAAAGTGAATGTTAAAGGAACTGTTTTTGAATGCGAATGGATGATGTTCATCCCTCCCAGAGATGTACAGCATTATTTGGAGGCTGTCTTTTCCCACTTCTCCACGACGGTCAGTGAGTTTTAGCCATGTGCGATTTCTTTGAGGGCTGCGTAAATGTCTAAATCAAGCTACTTTTTTCGTGCTGATATGTGTAAAGCAAGAGGCTCGATCCAGCTTGTGCTACTTCATCCCAAAGGCATAAGGAGAACTTGAAGTCATTTGCAGTACTTGAGTGAGGCCTTTGTTTTCAAAGATTTGTAATAGCTTGTGCATAAGATGTGTTCTTATTTAGATTTTTGATGGGGGGGGGAAATGTATGTCCTCATCCAAATGTTGTTTTCAGGACCACATGGTTTAGCAAAGTTAATTTAAATCGAAAGCATCCTCGGAAAGACACTGAACTGACTTGAATTTTAGCGCCAGAATTGCCAGTTTTGATTTGACTACACCCAATGTACATGTTGTAAACTGATAATAAATGAAAAATGTGGCTGAGTAAAATGTGTCTGGTACATTTAATGTAAATATATGCATGCCAATTTTATCATACACATTTATATGCGGGTCAAAGACGTTAAGATGTCCGCATCAAAAGAAATTTACAAAAGTGGTTTTATGTCCATAGAAAGCACATTAAATGCAAGTAAAGTGTCTACATTTAAGGTTTCAAATACGTTTTTGAAGAATAAAATGTCAAAATTTGGTTGAAATAATGTTCCATTGTCATTCAGTATAACACATATAGTTATGTAAAAATTCAAACAACTTGCTTATTCTGACCTGTACATATTAACCTGTTAACTGTCACCCGTCCTCTCTGTGGGACGCCTAAGTTTACTTCAATATAATACAATTAAAGGTGGGGTAAGCGATTTTCCAAAAACGCTTTAGAAAATGTGTCTCGCCGCAACAACTAAAGTCTGTAGTACACTGGACGCGACAAAGCGACCGTTGAAAATCATTTTTGTGTCAATACGTCATGAATACAAAGCAGCAGCAGTTTTCTGTCGGGGATTTGTCGTGTCGCGCCGCATCCAGTGTAGACCATAGATATGTATATATATCTATGGTGTAGACAGCATCACTGGTTATAATGAGTTCTATAGTATTTTGTCGCGCCGTGCCACTCACATCCGTGACATTTTAGTGGGTGTCTTCTGTAAATCAGGGGAAAATGTATGATATTTATTTTTTGCTCAGAAAAACAAAAATACAATTACATGAAACTTTTTTAAAAATGTTTTCTTTTTTTTGGGGAAAAACAACAATTTAAAGCAGCATTGTTTTTATGCTTAAACCCTTTTTCGTCTTTGACCCATGCACACTTTGAACATTTTGTAGTAGTGCATTACATAGGATTTCTGAAGTGCATGCTTATGCAAAACATGCTGCCATAATACTAGGGTTTTGTAGATGAATGCCATGACTTTGCTATGCAATGGCTAAGGTGTTCTGAGTGGTTTTCCACCAGTTTCATTGTCTAAGCGCAAAAAAAAAAAAAAATCAGATTAGAAAAAAAATGCCAAATCTCTTGGAAATGTAATAGCACCTCTCCAAGACACATGGTTTGAAGCACAGCGAAAGAAAAGAAATTGAGAAAATTTTAAGGCAAGATTTTCTTTTATTTTGCACGTTTTAAATACTTTAACAGTTATAAAAGTAATTAAAATCTACTTAACTGAAGTTAAATGACTCAAAAGTTATGAGTAAATCTAACCTGATTACTGTTGAGTATTATAATAGTATTTTTTTTTTTTTTTAAGTAAAAACATTCATGCCTTAAAGTTTAATACAAGGGAGTTTGTTTTAATCAAAGCTTTTTTTCCCGTTCTTTCAGGCAGTTTCTCATAGATGCCAAATGGAGATTTAGGGCACTGGCATTGAGTGGCTCAAATCGAGGGATTTAAGAAGGTCGAGGCGTGCACTTGTCAGATTTCATCTGTGAGCAAATGCTGCATAAATATGTGAGTGAGAAAATGTGTGTTCAACCATCTGCAGAATGCAGCATAAAAAACAAGCTAGCCAGCCTGAGTGGTCCACAGCTGCTGACATGGTCATTAGATTTTTTGGTTTGTTCCCACTGCAATTCAGGATTTAGAAAAATGTGAGTAGAAGAGCAAGGACAATTTGTTGCATTTTTTTGGTGTTTACTTATTTAGTCTGAAAATGTTGAGTGCAAAGCTTTGAAATGTATTTTGTCAGTTAAATGTGTAAATGTGTACACTGATGTTCAAAATAGTTGTGTCATTTAAAATATTTTTGAAAGAAGTCTCTTATGCGTGCCAAGGCAGCATTTATTTGACCAAAATGCAGTAAAAACTGAAATATTATTAAAGTTTAGAATAACTGTTTTCTATTTATATATATTGTAAAATGTCATTTATTCCTGTGATGCAAAGCTTAATGAAATCATTCTAATATGTGACCCTGGAGCACAAAAGCAGTCTTAAGTCGCTGGGGAATATTTGTAGCGATAGCCAAAAATACATTGTATGGGTCAGATTTATTGATTTTTGTTTTATGCCAAAAATCATTAGGATATTAAGTAAAGATCATGTTCCATAAAGATATTTTGTAAATTTCCTACTGTAAATATATCAAAACTTAATTTTTGTTTAGTAATATGCATTGCTAAGAACTTCATCTGGACAACTTTAAAGGCGATTTTCTCAATATTTAGATTTTTTTTTGCACCCTCAGATTCCAGATTTTCAAATAGTTGTATCTCAGCCAAATATTGTCCTATCCTAACAAACCATACATCAATGGAAAGCTCATTTATTCAGCTTTCATATGATGTATAAATCACAATTTCGAAAAAATTGACCCTTATGACTGGTTTTGTGATCCAGGGTCACATATTCTGATTTGCTGCTCAAGAAACATTTCTAACTATTGTCAATGTTGAAAACAGTTGTGCTGCTTAATTTATTTTTTCAGGATTCTTTGATGAATAAAACGTTCAAAAGAACAGCATTTATTTAAAATAAGAACCTTTTGTAACAATGTCTTAAATGTCACTTTAAACCCATTTATTGCGCCCTTGCTGAAAAAAGACTGTCAAGTACTTAGTTGTGCAACTATAGTATACAGGTTACAGTATATATGCTTTTCATTTTAGAGGGAATCTCAAGCCAAACACATTTGAAGCTTCTGCTTATGTTTAACTGTTTGTAATGTATAGACACAGTTACTGTAGCAGTAGTGTTTCACTCGTATCCTTTAGTCTCAAACAAGAGAGATTAGAGGCAGGTCTGAAGTCGCTGATGAGAGTTTGATTAAAACCATTTTTAGTCACTATTTTTGCTGCTCCAGCTGAATTTCAGCTCTCACACGAACACTCATGCTGAAATAGAACAGATGCGCCAAGCGGAAACTTTCTGATTTATTTGATGTGTGAGCACTCAATGTTTATTAGTTTATCGCAAAATTAGTTTAACAATGTTGTGAGTAAATATATATGATTGATTTTTTTTTTCACTGCAATTTACCCACTCATCCTCTTTCTACGTGTCAGGTCAAATTTTATTTGCTCTTCCTATTATTTTATTTTCATTATTATCTCCTAAAATTAACCGCATGCTTTACATGGTGTACACCAGGTGTCGCCAGTGAGTCTAGTTAGTGTGTTGAGAGAGGATCTTCTGCTGGAGAGTTTGTATAACTTCTGAACATATGACTTGCAAAGCGTTGTTTTATTGTTATTTTGAAAAAAGAAAAAAAAAAGACTTTAGAGACACCTTAGTCTCACAAGTTTCTTTAAGACCGTTCACAACTTTTTAAGTCAGTTACATAAAAATATAGATTTGTCTAAATTGATACCAAACAGACTGATTACCACTTGGCTAACTGCTAGTTTTTTTTGTTTTGTTTTTTGCTAACTGCTAGTTAGTCATGCTAGTTCTTAAGACACAGGCTGTGTCCGAAATCGCCCCCTATACCCTCATTCACTATTCCCTGCATTAGGTCACTAATTCAGTTCACTAGAAGGAGTGAATGAAAACGAGTAGTGAATTCGGACACTGAGTGCACCGGAAGGAATGCCGCTTTTGCATAGTTTGTGCTTGCTTGCAGTGCATTGTGGGATTGAATGAGTGCACTCGAGAACGTCCACTATGGTTTCGGACACCACTAAAAATGGCTGTTCCCTCAAATAGTGCCCTATTTAAGGGTATAGGGGGCGATTTCGGACACAGCCACAGTCTTCACATAATGGCTATATTTATGCAACTGGCCCCAGGTGTGTATTTGCATCACAAAATCGTTCTGTTGCTTTAGTTGCTTGATGCTCAGTGTTGTTTTAGTATTTCATTTATATACTATTATAGTAGTTATTAATATTTTTAATTAGCTTTTAAATTTATATTTTCTGGTTTCAGTTTAATGTAATTTTTAATCATTTCATGCACTTTTGTCATTTTATTACCATTTATTTCTATATTTCTTTCTTTTTATTTATTTTTTATTTCCATTTTATTTTAATTTGAGTAATTTTACTACTTCAACTTTATTTTAGTTAGATGTAAAGGCAACATTTCTAATTTACGTTTTTTTATCTAATGTTTCTATTATTTTACTTCAGCTTTATTTCAATTAACAAAAATAATTTGTAAAAAATTAATAGCACTGAATGTCCCCTGATTTTTGACTCTTAAATCTATTGAACTGAGATACGTCCCTTTGTATATGTTACAGTATTACAGAATTATTTGAAAACCATCATTTATACTCACAACAGGCCGAACATTATTTATATTGGGTTTCAGATGCATTTTATACAAATGGTGGTCCAAAAAGTACTTAGACACAAGTCACTTAAAATATCTGATTGGCATATTAAATATAATCCAAGTTATCTTCTTTTGTATTCTACAGAATAAAGAAAGTCATACAGTTTTAAAGTGACATGAGGGTGAGTAAATAATGACAGGATTTTCATTTTTGGGTGAACTATCCCTTTAAATCAGAGCCACTGTAGTTGGACAAGTTATTGATGCTGCACAAAACATAAGATCAATGTCACTCCTGATGATTTTCAACGTCAACACGTCTATTTAGATGTGTAAAACTGAAGTATACATTGAAATTGGTTGCTGACATGAGTTATTGCCCTCTCTCTCTATATTTCTCTCGCTGTCTATTAATCTCCTATTCACAAATAGAGGCCAAAAGAGGCTCAGCCAGCTGGATGAGATTATCTTTTTTTTTCTGATTAGAAATCAACGTCAGCACACCCCGCTAAAAGACTCTAGTGTACCATCCTCTCTCTGAGCTCCGCCTCTCTCCCTCCTCCCGGCTAATATAAGGACGCCCACACCGACTCCAAACACTGTGAGAGGGAGAAAACCAGAGGTCACACTGATAAGAGAAAGGAAAAAAGAGGCCGCCTGTATATCTGAGAGGCTCGACAGAGAAAAAAATAACAGAAGACTAC